TATATACACATATATATCATAGAATGAGTTCTGATTTAATCTTTATATATATATACATATATATGTATATATATACACATATGTATATATATATCAAATACATTTTGAAAGCCATCATTTATATAATTGAAACAAAATTTTCATGAAACAGCACTCACCTTAACTACATGCAGTATATGCTGATGTTTTCTATTCTATTACTTTATTTTAAAAGTTTTCTATTTACTACCTATTAAATTGATTGCACAATCCACTAATGGATTGCAGTTTACCATCTGAAAAGCCTTGGTTGTAGGAGAAAAAATAGCCGCCCCTTGAGAGGACCGTAAGTGAAGCATGCTTTGTCCTAAAGGAATAGCCAATTTTGTTAGATAAAGGAGGTGAAAGAAGCATCTATCAAAGAGGTTGAAGGGTTTAGGGGTGTCTTAGTTTGCTCAGGCTGCTATAATAAAATACCATAGACCGGGTGGCTTATAAGCACTGAACATTTATTTCTCACAGTTCTGGAGGCTGAGAAGTCTAAAATCAAGATGCTGACAGATGTCAGGTGAGAATCTGCTTTCTTGTGTCTTTTCACTGTGTCTTCATATGATGGAAGAGGTGAGGGAACTCTCTCTGGCCTCTTTTATAAGGTCGCTCGTCCCCTCCTGAGGGCCCCACCTCCAAATATCACCACCTTGGGGGTTAGATTTCAACATATGAATTTGGGGGGTGGGCACAAACATTCATTCTGTAGCAAAGGGATTTCGTCAATGACAGACCCTGAATTCCAGAAGTCACAGTGGAAGGAGTTAGAGGTTGTTTGGGGAGTTAGAGTCTGATTCTACCTATAATGAGGGATGATCTGGAGGCCAAGCATTCTTGTGTGAGTGTCGTAAGCAGAGATATAGGGCATGATGGAATTATTACTCTCAGGGGGAGGTAGATAATTATAGCCCCCTTCTCGGGACTGGTCTCTTAGTCAACTTGTCCATGGTGAGGTAGGGTGTAAGGGTTGGTTGGGGTTGAGCAGATGAGGCGGGTATGGTAGAATGAGGGTCTCACTAGAAGTGTGCTGAGTTCTGTGGACTTTCTTTCAATCCTATTGTGGATTGAGTTAAGGCTAGAGGGGCTATCTTTCCAAA